GAAAGGTACATTAGAGAGTGGCATTAACAATGATGATTTGATTGTTGAATTCCTAAAATATATGAGAGTGGATAAGATGAAATTGACCCCCAACAACATATCCATACATAAATTTCATTGAAAGTGTTTATCTTTTGCTTTTTGCCATTGATCAAAATTCATGCATACATATTTATTTTCTGTCTTGCATTTTAAACCCCAATTAATGCGTTTGTAAGTCTTAGTTAATTAAGAAATCACATAACTAAACTAGGCCATGAGTCCTTTGGGAAGAACGATACTTGGTCTAACTAAGTTTATTACTTGAACGATTCGGTAATACTTGCCGATTGAAAACAAGTTTGTGACATCATATTTTGGTGTTCATAAATTTGTCCATCATGGAGCAGCATAAGAATCATCCTAGATGGAGTGGAGCTCCTATTACTTGGTAGTTGTTCAAGGAGAAGTTATACACTAAGTATTTCCCTAATAGCGTGAGGTATGATAAGGAGATTGAATTTCTCAAGTTAGTACAGGGGAATATGGTCGTGGCGGAGTATGCAGACAGGTTCAAGCACTTGCTCTGATTCTACACCATGACTATGGATGAAGAGTGGTAGTGCAGGAAATTTGAGAATGGTCTAAGAGGAGACATCAAGTTGTTGGAAGGGCTACATATCAAGGAGTTCCCTACCTTGGTGGAGATGGCCCGTGCGATGGAGAAGACCAAGATGGAAGCTGAAGGGCAGCAGAGTCAGCCTGTTAGAAGTGGAGGACCATCTAGGTCCCGTGGTGGATTTAGTTCCAAGAGGGCTCCTTACCCTAGACTGTCCCCATCTTCTGGGTCTAAGGCTTCATCTTCCCAACCCTCGGTGCATTCAAAGCAGTCTAGCCACCCAGGAGGGTCGCGGTGCTATAAGTGTGGAGGGCCACATCTATAGTTTGTGTGTCCTCAGATGAGCGGTTACCGAAAGTGTAACATCTATCGTGGTGAGGGCCACTTTGCTAGAGATTGTCCTACAGTCAGAAGCACTGGACCACAGATACACCGTGCTGGGAGATCTGTTCAGAGGGGTGGTGCTGGACCACAGGCTACCGGCCGAGTTTATGCTTTGACTGGAGTAGAGGCAGTTAACTCAAGTACCCTCATCGTCGGCTATTGTTTGTTATTTGGTATGTCTTGTGTGGTGTTGTTTGATTCGGGGGCGACGCATTCCTTTGTGTCTGAGGCTTACGTGGAGAGATTGGGTTTGGTAGTCGGGAAGGTTCAGTGTGATCTGGTGGTTTCTACACCAGCATCTGGGTTGGTCAAGACGTCTACAGTATGTTCTAGATGTCCTACTGAGGTTGAGGGGCATAGGTTCAGAGTGAACCTTATCTGCTTGCCTTTACAAGGGCTAGAGGTAATCTTGGGAATGGATTGGCTGTCTGCCAATCGCATCCTCATAGACTGTGGTAACAAGGAGTTGATATTTCCTAGCGAAGATGAAGATATGTCCTTGCCAATAGGCGTGTTGAGGCAAGACATAATGGAAGGCGCGAGTTGTTTCTTGGTGATGTCGCATATGGAAGCAACTCGGGAGTCAGATCATTTGTCTCACGAGAATCAGAGTGTAGACCTTTTAGTCGTGAATGACTTCATGGATGTTTTTCCTGAAGAAGTTCCTGGTTTACCTCCTCCGCGAGAAGTGGAGTTCTCCATTGATCTGGTCTCAGGAGTAGGGCCAGTATCTATAGCCCCTTATCGGATGGTCTCAGGAGTAGGGCCAGTATCTTTACCGTTGAGCGGCACTCAGGAACTCACGGGAGGTCCGCTGAGGGGCAAAATGGCCGCTGAGGGGAAGAAACGTCTCATGCACTTACCGTTGAGCGGCACTTTACCGCTAAGCGGCACTTTTATGGGCTTGAACCTAATATTCTGTAATTTACGAATAATATATAAGCTTTAGGGTTTCCTAGGGTTAGGTATCTCTGGCTGGAACGAAGCAAACACTCTCTCCTCCACCCCTTTGAAGGAGGATCTTGGATGCTGAGGCTTCCTCTTCACCTTTTTAGGGTTTTATCTTTCATTCTTTCATTGTAATTCATCTAGGTTCACCATGAATATGGTGAACTAAACTCTGTATGTTTGTTGGGGAATCAATGTAATCTTTTGAAGCTCTCATATATGGAATCTGTTTTTACATCTTTTAATTAAGACCTATGCTTTCTTTTCATCATTAGTTAGGGTTTTTCCTCTTTGCTTAATGCTTGCATTGTTTAACTCATTCGATGCATGATTATTGGTTTTTTCGATACGGGCGCGTACGGGGAAGTCTAGATCCGGGGAATTTCTCCCAATATTATATTGGTTGTCGTTAAGCTCCTGCACTTATGAACTAATCATTAGGAATGCTAGGAATTGTATGAACTCGTGATTAGAGAGAAGCCTTCTTGAAAGGTACTTTAGAGAGTGACATTAACAATGATCATTTGAATGTTGAATTCCTAAAATATATGAGAGTGGATAAGATGAAATTGACCCCCAACAACATATTCATACATATATTTCATTGAAAGTGTTTATCTTTTGCTTTTTGCCATTGATCAAAACTTCATGCATACATATTTAATTTTCGTCTTCTGCATATAAAATCCAAATATTTCGTCTTTAAGTCTTAGCTAATCAATAAACGACACAACTAAACTAGGCCGTGAGTCCTTTGGGAAGAACGATACTTGGTCTTACCAAGTTTATTACTTGAACGATTCGGTCATACTTGCCGATTGAAAAACAAGTTTGTGACATCATATTTTGGTGATCATAAATTTGTCCATCATCGGGCTATCATCAGATCTTGGTGAAAGTAGATGATGTGTAGAAGACTACGTTCAGGTCCAGATATGGCCACTATGAGTATGTAGTCATGCCTTTTGGTGTGACTAATGCTCCAGCCATTTTCATGGACTATATGAATCGAATTTTCAGACTCTTCTTGGACAAGTGTGTGGTTGTCTTTATCGATGACATACTTGTCTATTCTAAGACTCAGGAAGAGCATGAAGATCACCTTAGGGCAGTGCTTGGATACTGAGAGAGAGAAAATTGTATGACAAGCTGTCTAAGTGTGAGTTTTGGATGGAAGAAGTTCCTTTTCTTGGGCATGCGATTTCAGCCGGAGGAATTTCTGTGGATCCCGCTAAGGTGCAAGTTGTACTTCAATGGGAGAAACCTAAGACTGTGACTGAAGTCAGGAGTTTTGTGGGTTTGGCAGGCTATTATCGCCGTTTTATTGAGAGTTTTGCTCGGATTGTGGCGCCGTTGACGTAACTGACTAGGAAGGATCAACCTTTTGTTTGGACAGATCGTTGTGAGACTAGCTTCCTAGAGCTAAAAAAAAGGTTGACTAGTGCACCAGTTTTGGTGATCCCTGACACAGGTAAACCTTTTGAGGTTTTCTATGATGCTTCTCATCAGGGATTAGGGTTTGTGCTGATGCAGGAAAAGAAAGTGGTTGCCTATGCATCAAGACAACTCAAAGCTCATGAGAAGAATTACCCCACTCATGACTTGGAGTTGGCAGCTGTGGTCTTTGCTTTCAAGATTTGGAGACACTGCCTATATGACGCGCAGTTTCAGGTGTTCAGTGATCATAAGTGCCAAAAGTATCTCTTTGATCAGAAGGAACTTAATATAAGGCAAAGCAGATGGATGGAGTTTCTTAAAAATTTTGATTTTGATCTCCTCTATCACCCTAGGAAAGCTAATGTGGTGGCAGATGCATTGAGCAGGAAGTCAGTGAATGTTTCGACATTGATGGTAAGAGAATTAGAGCTGGTCGAAAGCTTCAGAGATTTGAGATTGCAGGTGGAATTTGAGGCTGATTGTATCCGATGCAGTAATTTGGTGGTGTCCAACGACTTGTTGAAGCTTGTCAAAGAAGAGCAATCCAAAGATGTTGAGCTTCAAAAGTCAGCAGATTTGATTGGGACTGAGCAAGGTAAAGATTTTACCTTGGGGGTTGATGGCATTCTAAGATTCAAAAGCAGGGTCTGTGTACCCAGCAATTCGGAAATGAAGAGGTTAATCCTTGAGGAAGGTCATAAAAGTCGTTTTAGCATGCATCCTGGCATGACTAAAATGTATCAAGATCTCAAGGAGTCTTTTTGGTGGTCTGGTATGAAGAAAGATATAGCTTAGTTTGTTGCCTCTTGTTTAACCTGCCAGAAGGCTAAGATAGAGCATCAGAGACCTGGAGGTTTGTTACAGCAGCTTGAGATGCCTGAGTGGAAATGGGATAGCATAGCCGTGGATTTTGTTACCCATTTACCACGCATGGTTAGAGGTCATGATGCAATTTGGGTGATTGTGGATCGGTTGACCAAGAGTGCCCATTTCTTAGCGGTTAATTTAAGGATGTCGATGTCGAAGTTGGCGCAGTTGTACATCAAGGAGATTGTGAGACTGCATGGAATACCTTCTAGCATCGTATCAGATAGAGATCCGCGGTTCACATCTCACTTTTGGCAAACACTTCAGAGTGAGATGGGCAGTAGGTGCAAATGAGTCCAGCGTATCATCCCCAGACCAATGGGCAATTAGAAAGGACGATCCAATCACTTGAGGACTTGTTGAGGACATGTATTTTAGATCACTTGGGAGTCTAGGATGAGGTGTTGACGTTGGTGGAGTTCACCTTCAACAATAGCTATCAGGCCAATATTGGTATGGCTCCATTTGAAGCCCTGTATGGAAGACGCTGCAGAACACCTTTCTGTTGGTTTCAAGAGGGAGAATATGTTTTAATAAGGCCCGAGTTAGTACAACAGACTACAGAGAAAGTGAAGCTGATTCAAGAGCGGATGTGTGCTTCTCAGAGTAGACAGAAGTCCTATGTTGACTAGAGACGTAGAACCTTGGAGTTTGAAGTTGGAGATCATGTCTTCCTCCGAGTAACTCCTACTACTGGCGTGGGAAGAGCTATTCGCGCTAGGAAGTTGTCTCATAGGTACCTTGGTCCTTATCAGATCCTGAGACGTATAGGATCAGTTGCCTATGAGATAGCCATGCCACCCTGACTTGCAAACCTTCATCCAGTGTTCCATGTCTCTTAGCTTAGGAAATATGTGCCAAATCCGTCTCATGTATTAGAAGCTGAGAATGTTTAAGTCAGGGAAGATTTGTCTGTGGAGAATGTTTAAGTGTGTAATATGGTATATTTTTGGTTGGATAGAAATTTGGAGTTTTGTGGTTTTTAGGTCACTTTGAGAGGAAGTGAGGTAGTGATTTTCGGCATTTGAGGTCTAAAGCGCAATTGGGCTATTGGGGTAGTCTTAGCTAGTGTATTGTGACTTGCTTGAGCCACTAAATTGATCAAAATAGGTGCAAAGCAGTAGGATTGGGTTTTGGATCCCTAAGTTGGGAAAATTGGTGTTTTAGAGTTAAAATTAAATATTAATCACTTTAGAATGGTAGTAGGAATGTTTAGAATCATTTAGATAAGTTTAATTAAGTATAAAACAAGAATTAAAGGTGTTAGAAGTTAGTAAAAATGGTTAGAAATGGTCAGGTTGGGTTCTGTTCGCAATTATGCATAATTCTGCAGAATTATGCAAAATTCTGCAGAATTATGCAAAATTCTGCAGAATTATGCAGAACGCTGTAGTTGACCGTTCGGTCTTGTGCTGCTCTCGGTCATAACTAGGTTGGTCTCTTTTGAGTCTTACCAGTTCATGACCGTTCGTTCTCTTAAGTAGCATTCGGTCTCTCAAGTAGCGTTCGATCTCTTAAGTAGCGTTCGGTCTCTCAGGTAGCGTTCAGTCTCTTAAGTAGTGTTCGGTCTCTCAGGTAGCGTTCGGTCTCTTAAGTAGCGTTCGGTCTCTCAGGTAGCGTTCGGTCTCTTAAGTAGCGTTCGGTCTCAAGTAGCGTTCGGTCTCTTAAGTAGCGTTCGGTCTCTCAAGTAGCATTCAGTCTCTTAAGTAGCGTTCGGTCTCTCAGGTAGCGTTCGGTCTCTTAAGTAGCGTTCGGTCTCAGGTAGCATTCGGTCTCTCTTAGTGAGCGATCCTGAATAGTGTTCGGTCACTTCTTCAGTCTTACCTTTTATGGACCATTCGGTTCTGTCTTTGGGAAGAGAGATATCGTTCGGTCTCCACCATTCACAGGGTGTTCGGTCTTGCTCATTATGTGTTGATGTTTTCTGTTCGGCCTATATTCCTATTTAATCCAATATACTATTTTACTTAATTGTTCCAGTTGCTTTAAGGGCTTATGTGTGCATTATCATGTTTGTGTTAAAGTGGAAAGTATTAGTATTGGACGTAATTCCATGATCCTCAAGGGGGGATACATGGTGGTGCCCTTTCATTGTGTTTAGAATGATTTGCATGGTAGCTCAGTCTTGGGGGTTTTACTAACGCTCCAATGGTCTTTCGTTCTAAAGTAGAGAGGATTGATCCATGTGGTGAGGAGTAGCAGGACGTCCTAGTCTTGGGTGCTTCCAGTATGGCCCAAGGTGAGTGATAACGGACTAACCTCGTGAGTGTGGTAGGGTGAAACCCATTGTCAATGGCTTTGCAAAGCAGTAGAAGCCACCACAAGTGCATAACCTGTCATAGCTCGGCAATCATTCTAAGTCTGGACGAGTCAAGTTTAAGTGCCACAAGTCATGTTTGTCTAGTATAGTATAGTATATTTGTCTTTACCTGCATGTTGCCTATGACTGTTATAACATGATTTTTATATCTAGCTCACCCTTTCTTGTGTGTTTGTGTTTGCTTGGGTATGCTTTCTTTTGCAATGATCATCCACTTGGATGTGAGCAGAGATGGATGAGGTGCCTCTGGAGCAAGCTTTGGAGTAAGATGATGTCGCTGCTTAGTCTCCTTAGGATTCTCTTAGTATTTCTTGTATTTTGAATTACTGTTTAGTTGTTGAGGATTTCCTTGTGATTCCTATCCTTTTGAAATACTCTATTTGCATTTAAGTTTTAAATTAGGACTCATTCTGGGATGATTATAAGCTTAACTACCTTATTTACAGTCTATTATAATTGTCCTCTTTTATTTAAATGTGGACTCACTATATTATATGCTTCTATATATCTGAGATATCACATTCATTATCATTACTCATTGATAAAACATTATTACATACACAACACCATAGGACCTTCTGAAAAGTGTATGACTTCTATTTTCCTTTTGAAAAATTGGTGGTTCTTGTGATATATTTCTTGGAGATATTTCATACAAAATGCAGAAAAAAAAACTTGAACCAAAATAGCATTGGAATATGGTTCCCTCCTTGCCGCATCATCATTAAAATTAATATGCTAATAGTCATTAAAGCATGCGTGATTAGTACCAAATTGTTAATAATCAAATTTTTTTAATGTGTCCTTACATGCTCTGTGACTCATACTGTGTTAGTTCTTGGCAGTTCCAACGTAATCAGAGTAATTAAAAATAAAATATAAAACACTACGGTTAATTTATGTTGACTCATGATGCATCAGCATGCCCACCAAAGCTTAATCTGTGTGCTTGCTTTCTTTGTTTTATGTTAAATGCAAAATTTAATTAACATTAGTTGAAAACAAAAGTGAAATAGAATGACTTTTATGACATTTTCCATATATAATAATCAAACCCTTTTTGTTCACCAAAAACTATACCAAGTGAAATGGGAACAAAGGCAAAACTGAAGCGTAAATAGTAATCCAAAAGTGATTATGAAACGTGTAAATAAAAGAATGCAAGCACATCTCCAATTTTGATTGTTGAATGGATGTTTGTGATGGAAGGTGTGCCATGTATTAGATGTTCTGTTTCAAAGTTCTTTTCCTTTTGGAAGTCAATTTTGCAATCATACATGAAAGGCACACAAGATTTTTACCTTCAAATTTTCTCAAAATTATATAATTAAACGTAAAAAAAGGTTTAAATTAATATAGATACTAAAAAACAAAAATGAGAAAAGTAAACAACATAAATATTTCACGAAAAGACAGATTTTCAGACGTTTCAAGCTTTCGCATTTCAAGTTTTTACTGGGCTTTCTTGACAGATACCTTACAAATTCTAAAGTATTTGTTTTGTAATTAGAAAACTATTATAAACATAAAAGACAAAAAAATACTTTTGTCTTTAGAAAATATTTTATATAAATTTATATTATTTAATTAATGAGTTAATTATTTCATATTTCAATATAAATAAATATAGTGGAACGAAAGATCATTAATTATATTAAAGCGTAACAACCTTATATATAAATTTATATTATTTTAATTAGTAAAGTTAATTATTTTAGATTTCAACATAAATATAATTAATAAAATTCAGAATTATTAACTAATGTCAAACCTTGAAAATGACATGTGGAAGGTGAGGAACAGATGTCTCAAATAAACGAGATTGAGCATTTTATAGAAATTTCCAAACCCAGCTCATCTCATTTTTCTCAGAATCTATATCTCTCTAAAACTCAAGCCTCTATCTTTTCTCCTACTTCTCTCTAGAAATTTTTCATCTCCTTCCATCTTTTCTCAAACCGCCACTGTTTAAGCAATCTAGGAGTCAATATCATTTCTTCCACCGATCAAAAATCAAGCTTAAAGTCGGTAAGTTGATCCTTTTCTTAGAAATTTTGTTTCCTGGCACATGCAAGCCATGTTCCTGGTTGCATGTGTTCATTAGCTTCTTCTTCTTATTTCTGATCACTTTTCTGGTAATTTTGGGTTGGTCTTTTCTCACCAATCGGTTAAATATAGGTGTTCTTGGGATTTTCTAGTGAGAAAGCAAAGTCTGGAAAAGATTAATCGTTGTTCGGTTCGGTCAAAGAGGTAAGGGAAGCTAGATAATTTAATTACTTAGTTTTGATGTATGAAAATGTTGATTGATGATGTTGCATGTATGTGAAACTGAATGATTTGGTGTTCGGTGTTGTTGGTGGAATATTGATCTTGTGTTTATGATGATTGTGTTTCTGCATGATTATGGTTCGCCGAGTGAAATTGGAAGGAGGTGTGATAGTGAAAATGGGGAAATTGTGTTCGGTTTGAGTTTGGTCTGTATGGGAAATCTAGGTAAGTTGATTAAAGACTTTTAGAATTCGTAATTCACTCATAAATGTGCCAAAACACTAGGAAAATCTGATTCTTGGTCATTGAGTTTATGATTATGCAGATTGACTCTCAAATCTGTGATGAAACTCTCTTAATGATGTTAGAAAGGTTTAAACAATCTTAATCAAGTGTAAAGTAAGTATTTGATATATGTTTGGAGGATTAGAAATTGGAAGAATGTAGTGCAATTAGTAAGGATTGGTGTTGATCATAGTTCTGCAGTTATTCTACATAATTATGTAGTTCGCTGAGGGTCTTTAATTGACCGTTCGACTTTATCTGGTGCTCGGTCTTAACTTAGTTCTTCTATTGTGGATTCTTAGTTAATGACCGATCGGTCTGGTGTTAATATTTCATTGAATATAGCATTCGGTCTAGTCATGGCTCTTGAATTTAAACTGCATTCGGTCTGTTATAGGCCTTAACATTAATGAAAAGAATGATGAATTCCTAAATACAAGAGAGTGGATAGGATGAAATTGATAAACCCCAACAACATAATCAACCATATATTTCAATTCACGTGTTTTGTTTCTTCTTGCCCATTGATCATCACATGCATACATATTTACTTTTCAGCCTATTGCATTTGAAACTTACAACAATGTTTTCACAAGTCTTAATTCATCAATAAATCACATAACTGTCTAGGTCGTGAGTCCTTTGGGAGAACAATACTTGGTCTTACCAGGTTTATTACTTGATACGATTTGGTTATACTTACCGAGGGTTAATAAGTTCTTGACTCCGTTTCGGGGATCTAAGATTTGTTCATCAGTTATCCGTTCGGTCGTCTTTGTCTTTGCAATGATCACCCTGTGGGTGTGAGCAGTAGGTGAGGAGGGTTCTCTAGAGCAGGCGCTGACAGGAGAGGATGGTTTCCTCTAGAGTAAGATCGTTCGGTATTGAGTTGTTTTTTTTGTATTTAGTATAGGGTCGTTCGGTTGGTACACTTCTTGTATGACCAATCAGTCTACTCTTATGGGTTGTTTTAGTATAGGTTTCTGTAAAGTTTTAAATTTATAGTTATTTTAGGATAAATGTAAGTTAAACTTTATTCTTGTAACTGTTCTATTTTATTATAAATGTAAGGACTCTTAAATATAGTTTACAACTATATTTTTGGGATGTTACAATTATACTTTTCAACATAAACGTAATAAAATAAAAAACCATTAATTATATTTTAAACAATATCTTAGACACTTGTTAGCATTCCTCATAAATTTATTATATATGAATTATTTATGACAAGTAAATAATACAGGAGTTTCCATTTACGGTAACTTACTTTATTTCTTAGAGCCTGTGGTATTTGTATAAATCCAAATATTTATTTTAAAAACTTAAAAATGGACCATTCATTAATATTTTTAGAAAATTGCTTCAGGACTGCACCTTTTAACTCTGTTTTATTTTTTATTATTTCCCTAGTTTTAAGGAATCAGTTTAGGTTTGTTATTTTGATTCATGCATTTTATTTAATGGCTTAATTCTAGGAACACATTGTTAGTGGGTAGTTATTTTTAAATTTTATAAATTGTAACGTTTCCTGATTCAATAAAAGAAGTTTTTATTGTTCTCCTTCCATATATTTTCCTTCAATATATTTTCCCGTTCCTTTTTGTTCATTTTTGTTCTCTTTTAAAGAAACTTTGCTTTCTTATAAACACCAACAATTGGTATCTAGAGCTTTTTTTCTTACGGGACCTTAGAATGGATTCTGAAACAAGTTTTTCCCAAGCAACTCTTCCAATTTTCAATGGGGGAAAACTATGATCTTTGGGCTGTTAAAATGGAGGCTTACCGAGAAGCTTTGGATCTTTGGGAAGCCATAGAAGAAGATTATGAAATCTTTTCGTTGCCTGACAATCCCACTGTGGCCCAGATCAAAAATCATAAGGAGAAGAAACCCAAAAGGCAAAAGCAAAGTCATGTCTTTATGCTCGCATTTCTGCAACCATCTTTACTAGGATCATGACTCTCAAATCAGCAAAAGCAATTTGGGATTATCTGAAGAGAGAATATACTGGAGATGAAAAAATTCGAAGCATGCAAGTGCTTAACTTGATGAGAGAATTTGAACTTCAAAGGATGAAAGAGTCTGACACAATCAAGGAGTATCTAGACAAATTTTTGGGTATTGCCAACAAGATAAAAGTATTGGAAAGTAATTTTATAGATTCCAAAATTGTTGAGAAAATTTTGGTGACCGTACCAGAAAGGTATGAAGCATCTATTGCTTCTTTGGAAAATACAAAGGATATTTCTAAAATCACTCTTGTTGAAGTGATACATGCCTTCCAGGCCCAAGAGCAACGATGATTGATGAGGAAAGATCATGCTACTGAAGGTGCTCTTCTAGCCAAGAGCCAACAAGCAAAAAATTACAAGAAGAATCATCCAGCTAGCAGTCAAAGCAGTGCAAATAATTACAACAAAGGAAAGGGTGAAAAGAAAAATTACCCTCCTTGTCAACATTGTGGCAAAATGGGTCACCCTCCATTCAGATGTTGGAGGAGACCAGATGCCAAATGCATAAAGTGCAATCAAATGGGACATGAAGCAGTCATATGCATGAGCAAAAATCAATCACAAGAGGAAGAAGCTAAAGTTGTTGAACAGGAGGAGGAGGAAGATCAATTATTTGTGGCCACCTGTTTTGAAAGAAGTAAAGAAAATGAAAGTTGGATAAATGAAAGTAGTTGCACAAACCATATGACCTATGACAAGGAGCTTTTCAAAGATTTAAAGCCAACCAACATCACCAAAGTCAAAATAGGCAATGGTGATTATATTTCAGTCAAAGGAAAGGGAACTGTTGCAATAACAAGTTGCTCAGGTACAAAGCTAATTTCTGATGTCCTTTTTATACCAGAAATTCAACAGAACTTGTTGAGTGTTGGCCAATTGATTGAAAGAGGCTTCAAAGTCTCTTTTGAAGACAATTTTTGTTTGATTAAAGATGCAACTAGTCAAGAAATTTTCAAAATCAAAATGAAAGGAAAACGTTTTGCTCTAAATCCATTGGAGGAAGAGCAAGCTGCCTTTCCTGTCAAGGAGAACATAACAGAAGTTTGGCACAAAAGGCTTGGGCATTATCATCACCAAGGGCTGCTGAAAATGCAGTATAAGAAAATGGTAGTTGATTTTCCAGAACTTGATGATCAAATACCAACATGCAAGACATGTTAATTTGGAAAGCAAAAAAGAAATCCATTCCCAAAGTCAACATGGAGAGCCACTCACAAATTGCAGCTCATCCACACAGATGTTTCAGGCCCTCACAGAACACCTTCCTTAAAAGGTAGTCTTTATTTTAATACCTTTATTGATGACTTCACCAGAATGTGCTGGATTTTTTTTCTTAAAGTTTAAATCAAAAGTAGCTCAAGTTTTTTGGAAGTTTAAGACAAGAGTTGAGAATGAAAGCACCTGCAAAATTCAGATTGTAAGATCTGATAATGGGAAGGAGTATACTTCAGCAGAATTTGGCAGGTTTTGTGAAGATTCAAGCATAGAGCATCAGCTTACATCTCCTTACACACCTTAACAAAATGTAGTTAGTGAACGGAGAAATAGATACATCATGGAGATGTCAAGATGCATGTTGCATGAGAAGAATTTGCCAAAAATGTTTTGGGCAGAGGCAGCAAATACAGCTGTGTTTCTTCAAAACAGGCTTCCAACAAAGGCAATGAGAGAAATGACACCATTTGAGGCATGGTATGCTTATAAACCATCTCTAAAATTTCTTAAAGTATTTGGTTGTTTATGTTTCACTCACGTTCCACAGATTAAGCGTGACAAGCTTGATAGGAGAGCTTCACCAAGCATTTTTATAGGCCACAATTCTGTTAGTAAAGCCTATAAAATTTTCCAGCCACAAACTGGAAATATTATTGTCAACAGGGATGTTCACTTCATGAAGGATGAAGAGTTGAACCTGGATGATGCAGAAAAGAAGGGTCAAAACATGGCAGAACTAAAACTCAAGTTTTCCAGTTCAACCAATGAAGAAGAAGATGATGACTGGCAGAATCAAACAGTGGATGATGCTCCTGTGAGAGGAACAAAGTTGCTCTTAAATGTTTATGAAAGGTGCAATATTGCCTTATGTGAACCTGCTGACTATGTAGAAGCAAAAAATGATCAAATGTGGATAAATGCAGTGGAGGAGGAGTTGTCAATGATAGAGAAAAACAAAACTTGGATCCTAGTGGATAGGCCTCAAGACAGGAAGGTAATTGGAGTCAAGTAGGTGTTTAAAACCAAACTTAATGTTGATGGCTCAATCAACAAACACAAAGCTAGGCTGGTGGTTAAAGGGTATGCCCAAATATTTGGTGTTGATTATTCTGACACTTTTGCTCCTGTTGCTAGATTGGACACAATCAGGTTACTCCTTGCAATAGCTGCACAAAAGAGCTGGAAAGTGTTCTAGTTGGATGTAAAATTAGTCTTCCTAAATGGTATCTTACAGGAAAAAATTTATGTTGAGCAGCCCCAAGGATTTGTGAAGGAAAGTGAGGGAGATAAAGTATATCTTCTCAAGAAAGCTCTTTTTGGTCTAAAACAAGCTCCAAGAGCTTGGTATAGCAAAATTGATGAATATTTGCTGAATTTTGGATTTGAGAAAAGTCTATCAGAAACAACCTTGTATGTCAAGCACAATGACACTGATATTCTTATTGTTTCATTGTATGTTGATGGCCTACTAGTTACAGGAAACAATATAGAGCATATTCAAAACTTCAAACAGGAGATGATGAAGGTGTTTGAAATGACAGATCTTGGAGTTATGTCCTACTTCCTTGGCATGGAGATCAAGCAAGGGCAAGGTGAAATTTTCATATGTCAGAAAAAGTATGCAAAGGAAATACTAAAAAAATTTCAAATGGAAGAATGCAAGCCAATAAGCACTCCAATGAATCAAAAGGAAAAGCTGCACAAAGAAGATGGTGCTAACAAAGTTGATGAAGGATATTTCAGAAGCTTGATTGGTTGCTTGATGTACCTCACGGCAACAAGGTCTGATATTTTAAATGTTGTAAGCATTTTATCTCGATTCATGCATTGTGCAAGTGAATTGCATCTCAAGGCTGCCAAAAGAGTGATTTGGTATGTAAAGGGTACAAGTGATTTTGGTGTTAAGTTCACATGGAGCAAAGAATTTAAGCTGACAGGTTTCTCTAATAGTGACTGGGGAGGTTCTATGGACGATATGAAAAGTACTTCAGGCTACTTTTTTACTCTTGGATCAAGTGTTTTCTCTTGGAGCTCAAAGAAGCAAGAAATTGTGGCTCAATCCACTATAGAAGCTGAGTTTATTGCAGCAACAACTGCAGTCAATCAAGCTTTATGGTTAAGAAAGATTTTAATGGATTTAAGTCTGCAGCAAAAAGAAAGTATCAAGATCTTCGTTGACAACCAAGCTGCTATCGTTATTTCCCATAATCTTGTATTTCATGGGAAAACTAAGCATTTCAACATCAAGTTGTTTTTTTTAAAAGAAGTGCGGAAAAATGAATTTGTGACTTTGATTTATTGCAAGTCCGAAAATCAACTTGCAGTTTTATTTACAAAACCACTTTCAGGTAGCAGGTTCGAGCTTCTAAGGAAAAAGATTGGTATTTGCAGCTCCTAAAGCAAGAAGGAGTGTTAGAAAATTGCTTCAGGACTGCACTTTTTAATTCTGTTTTAAGGAATCAGTTTAGGTTTGTTATTTTGATTCATGCATTTTATTTAATGGCTTAATTCTAGGAACACATTAGTGGATAGTTATTTTTAAATTTTATAAATTGTAATGTTTCCTGATTCAATAAAATAAGTTTTTATTGTTCTCCTTCCATATATTCTCCTTCAATATATTTTTCCGTTTCTTTTTGTTCATTTTTGTTCTCTATTAAAGAAACTTTGTTTTCTTATAAACACCAACGGATATATACCAAAGTTGATAGGTTAAAAGGGTTGTAAAAGTATGTTTACATGAATAATTTAAAAAGTTTCGATGGCGTTAAATAGCTATTAATATAATTGTCTATATTGTTATGAGAGGTACACATTTTGTTTTCTTCATCAAGAGTCTATAATTGAATCATGTTAAACAAGTTTATATTGAAAAAAATCATTGAAAGAGACAAAGTTTATTTCAATAATTGTTAGATGTCTAAAGATCTTTCTTTTAAGAATATCTTAGTTTAATTTAAATGTTTCTTTAAAAAAAGAAAAGGTGAAGATTCGATGTGGTCCCTTATTCAACGTAGTATGCATTTGAGAAAGAAAAATGTTTACCCAACACAGATGGAGAGAATCTGAGAAAACCAAAGCATATTCCATCTTCTGCAGTAATAAAAGGAAGAAAAAAAAAGTATTTTTAGGCTCGTAAAAATGACTCTATTTTTCTATATAAAGCCACCTCGATATGCACCCTTTATGATAAAACCCTGTGACTCTTTTTGATCCATTTTTCATTCGCTGTGGTCTTCCTCTTCCTCGTACACAGGTACCATATTGGATTCCAACCACTTGTTCATTTCATGGGTCGTGCCGAAGTCATATGCTTCATGCTTTCTGGTTCCCCACGTGTTGTGTTTCAAAGGGCAGTTTTTTCAGTGTGGTTTGTAGTAATAGTATTTGTATCATCACCCTGCACGTGTCATCCATTCGTCGTATCATACAAGTCAATTTCATCATTAAATGCGGGCCGTGGAAAGAACTTATGGATGTTGTGTTGATTTGTCCCTTGGTTTTAGTTAATAGTTTTCATTGGTGTTGTTTGTTTTTTTATTTGTTCTTGTGGGGTTATTGGTTGGCTTTTCATGATCTCAGGCGAAGGGACTGAAAGTTAACAATGGCGAACCGGAACATGGAAAAGATGGCATCCATTGATGCTCAGCTTCGGCTATTAGCTCCTTCCAAAGTGAGTGAGGATGACAAACTGATTGAGTACGATGCTCTACTGCTGGATCGGTTCCTTGATATTCTGCAGGATTTACACGGGGAGGATCTGAAAGAAACAGTGAGTTTTTTCCACTCTTCCTACTTTGATGTCTTTGTTGTTAGATTTTGGTTTGATTTGGTTGCACATTGCTTGGTCTCTCTTGTCTCTATTTGTTGTGAAAGTCTGATACTGGTTTGGTGAGAAAAAGCATGGAACTTGTATGCACAGATTTTGATTACTGGGTCAGGGGTGTGGGTTTGGAGAGTTTTTATGGGAAAATAACTCTTGATATGTTCTTGTAGCCATGAGAAAGGTCTTTCTTCTCATAATGGATTCTAGAGGGGTATATTCATTGATCGAAATCATGTAAACAATATTTTTTTATTTTATATTTGACTCCGAATCTAACTCACTCTCAATAGCTAATTCATATAATTTTCATAGAGTGAGGATTGTTATGCCACTTATATAAACCTTTTAAGTCATATCACACTGTTCAATGTAGGATTTTCAACATACATTTGAGGGTAAAATTTAAAGAATGAAACATCTCTTTGAGGTTTGGTAATGGCCTAATACCAGGTGATTCAGTAGACCCAATAACAACAAGTTTTGTATACATTGTTTGCGGGGAGTTTCAACAAGGTTGAATATGTGTTTGACTTAACTCCAAGGATAAAAAAAGTACAAAACTTGACCTACTAGATTTTGACTAGGGTGCACTTTTTGTCTTAGTGATTGAATGTCAAGTACTATGTAGAAGGTAGATATGTGATCAGTAAAATAAAGGAAACAATCTGGGGATATCTCGTCAAAATCTTTAGTTTGGCTGATTTATAGTTTACCATGAGTTAATAACATTCCGGAATTTATGTTCTTTAACTTCTCTTCGACATTTATGTAAATGCTTTTGTGCAGGTTCAAGAAGTGTACGAAATTTCAGCTGAATATGAAGGAAAGAGTGACCCTAAGAAACTGGAAGAACTTGGAAATATGATAACTAGTTTGGATGCAGGGGACTCTATTGTTGTTGCCAAATCCTTTTCCCACATGCTTAACTTGGCCAACTTAGCTGAGGAGGTCCAGATTTCTCGCCGCCGAAGGAACAAGGTGAAGAAAGGGGATTTTGCAGATGAGAACAATGCAACTACAGAATCAGACATTGAAGAAACTCTCAAGAAACTTGTATTTGACTTGAAGAAGTCTCCTCAGGAAGTTTTTGATGCACTAAAAAACCAGACTGTTGATCTGG